GCGCCTCCCGGCGCCGGAGGCGGCCATGCATCGAGGAATGGGCCCGGCGGCGGGGCCGAAACCAGCTGCATGCAGCAGATTTCGTAACCCCCCCTGTCCCTATCCCCCCCTTTCGTTCGGCCCGATTTTCGAGCAAGCCATGCAAGCCGAAGGGTATTTCTTGGGAGCCAAGAAGGGTTTCACGGCAGCGGCTCTCTGGGGCGTATTTGAACTATTGCGAGTGCGTCGGTCGGGAACTCTGGAGGAGCAGGGCCCAAGAGACAGGTTTCTCGGACTCGCTCGCAGTACTCTTTTGCAACCAGTACCAAGCGCCCAGGCTAGTCGCCACCCGTGCCTCCGCGCGCCCAGCAGGTTGCCCAGACTGAGGCATAGCCGCAGGCTGCTGGGCAGCCACTTTCGCTGTGCAGCAGTATTGTTGGCCGCCCATTGACATCTGGGTGGCCCAGAATCTGAGAGTCCAGCCGACCACTTTCGTAGACGATCATGATAGCCAGTCACAACAACAAGCCGAACAACTTGATGGCCAACTTTGCCACGGCCTCAGCTGGTATGCATCAGTCGATCGTTGTTGATCTCAAGTGTGACATCACTAAACATGAGGCTGCTGTTGTGGCGTCCACGCCGATGATCAAGGCCGACCTGTCGGCCAAGCTCGGCCAATGGGCTGGCCCGCAGGCAGGCTTGAAGGAGCCAGCCGCCGCCAACTTAGGAGTTGACTTCACAGCAGGAGCGAGACAAGGGAAAGGCTTTTAAAAGAGACCTGCAGTGAAGTTGAAACACCGTCTTCGAAGACGGCGGGCTCTGCGTGCAGCTGGAGCCGACACAAAGAAGATGTATCTTTGGAGTGAAACATTCTGTCTCGCCGCTCAGTTCCAGGAGGCACAGAACATGTTCCTCAGGGTCGTGGGGCCAGGGTGTGCTGCCCGCTCGAGTGCGCTTTCGCTTGCTAGTCTTGGGGACCCGACTTGGAGATCTGCACTGGGACCGTGTATCGATTGGAACATGATTGTCTTCAGGGCCTCCCAGGACCCCAAGCAATCCGGGTTCAAACTTCCAGCACTTTGACGACTAGCAGCAGGTGTCCTCCACAAGCCTCCCTTGTGTTTGGGGTCACATCAGGGGTCCTCTTGGAGCTGCTGATTTAAGCTTGCCCAGAGTCGGATGGTCGCAGACCAGCCCGATGCTTTGTACCAGCAAGGACGGAGAAGCCTACCCGCTCACAACCACCTCGCCTGCCCTTCTTCGATTGGTGTTTGCGGCAGCGTGGCAGGAGCAGCTGGCAGACCAAGCTGCTGCCAAAATTGGAGTTGATGCAGTTGTCTTGCCTCATGCCAAAGCAGCGCTAGCAGTGCTAGCAGACAAAAGATGGACCAAGCAGGAACGCAGCCTCCTCCTGTCTGACCTGACCCAATCGATCTGGACCAAGTGCAGGCTCAAAGATGCAGGGTACGACACGGACACTACATGTATATGTGGGCCCCCCAGGGATCAGATCTTCCACAGGCTCCAGGAGTGCCCCAAAAATGCTGAACTTAGGGAGGAAGGTCTGGAGGAAGGGGATGTCGAAGCCCTGAAGGAGCCCGTAGCGTTTGCCACCTGTGCTGGTTTTCCTGAGCCTCCCCCTTGTCGGGTCCCGAGGCCGCCAAACTTAGACTTAACCGACGCCGTGCTCTGGTCCCGTGATGGCCTTTCGCCAGGGGAAGCCTTCGCTGGCGAGGTTCACGTTGACGGCAATGTGGCCAGGGACGGCCACCAAAACTGTCACGCCCCTGGCTGGGCAGCTGTAAAGCGTGATGCCCGCGGGGATGTAGCCGCATACCTCTGTGGGCCAGCAGGTAGAGCCCTTCCAGCGCACCTAGCAAGTAGCAAGTACAGAGGAGTGACTAAGATACACTCTGAGTTCAAGGGTGTCGTGGCCTGTCACAACTCGGGCATTCCAACTAGTAGGAATAATCTGTTTGACGGGCGTGACTCCATGGCCAAGCTCGGCGAGGCCAGCCGGGGCGGAGGTTTCGACGCTGTCAAAGCCAAGGCCCACCAGAACCTAGAGTCCCAAGAGCGTTACTCTGATGAGTGGAGGCACGCTTCTGGGAACGATGCGGCAGACCGACTTGCCAAGCTAGCTGCCTCTCGACTGCCCCAGCCCTCGCAGAGGAAGAGGGAAGCCTAGCAGCTGCTTGACAAGAGAGTGAAGCCTCTCCTTGGCTCTGTGGCGAGGGCGAGAGTAAGACGGTATGTGCCGAAGGCCTTGGCTCTGTGGCCCGCCATCGCCCGAGAGTCGGTGGGCAAGGCTCGGAAGCCCCCGCCCAGGCCACCAACCCAGCGGTTGGAGCCAGCTCGATCGCGGGAGTGTGGCAAAATGGAGCTAAACCAGGGGGTTCTGGCTCGAACCCTCCCCGTCCTCCTCGGGTGGCGAGGGCTCGGTTCGAGCACGTGTGGACTTGGCAGAACAACTGCTGGCGCTGCTATCTCTCCCACTCGCGATGCCTGAATGGTAAGAGCAAGAAGGATCGTGCCAAGGAGCGTTGCCCTGGGAATGCTGCTGCCTTTCCCAAGCTAGCGCTCCAGCCCAACGGACACATACACCTGGTTTTCGATCGTTTCGAGGATGACAGTTGTATTATTGCATGTAAGCAGTGTGGCAAGTATTCAGGATGTACCTTGAAAGGCCTCCACAAGGGCTGCCTTAAGAAATTCAATCCTAACTACGAGCGGCTCATGGAAAAGCGACATTCAAGGTCCTCAAAACAGAGCCCGATTGTTTTTAACCCCCCGATTCCGAAGTCTGAGGTTATCCGACATTCAGCCCAAGCCCAAGCGCTCGAGTCGCCACAGCGAAGTCGAACCCTTTCCAAAGCCGTGCGATGGTCCTCCTCCTCCTCCTCCTCCTCCTCCTCCTTGTCTTCCTCCTTCCCCCCATCGACGATTCCACTTCTGCTGACGATGAACAATATCAGATTGCGTCTGATTGCTTCAGCCGCCGTATGTCTGGTCAGATTTCCACCTTGAGGACTCCGAATCTGATTGTGACGGCAGCCCTGTCTGTGTTCTGGCGCCAGACCTCACATCGCAGACGTCCATTGCTGCAGAGGCCCTCGAGGAACAGGCCATTTTCTGGCACATCCTCGAGGAGCCAGGCAGGGATGTCGATTCTCCTGCCCGACCCTTCGCCCCTGCTTCCCCTTCCTCTCCCACCCCCGGCCCCTCTCCCCCTCCCTCCTCCTCTCCTCCTCCTCCTCCTCCTCCTCCTCCTCCTCCTCCTCCCTCCTCCTCCCGTTTCCTCCTCCTCCTCCTCCTCCTCCTCCTCCTGCTCCTGCTCCTCCTCCTCCTCCTCCTCCTCCTCCTCCTCCTCCTCCTCTCCTCCTCCTCCTCCCCCTCCCCCCCCCCTCCCCCCCCTCCCCCTCCACCTCCCCCTCCCCTCCTCCTCCTCCTCCTCCTCCTCCTCCTCCTCCTCCTCCTACCTCCTCCTCCTCCTCCCCTCCTCCTCCTCCTCCCCCCTCCTCCCCCTGCCCCTTCTCCCCCCCTCCTCCTCCTCCTCCTCCTCCTCCTCCTCCCTCCTCCTCCTCCCTCTCCCTCCTCCTCCTCCTCCTCCTCCTCCTCCTCCTCCCCCTCCTCCTTCTCTTCCTCCTCCTCCTCTTCTTCTTATCATTCGTATTTTTCTTATTATTATCTTCTTCGTCGTACTTTCGTTTTATCAATCTTATTGTTATCAGTATTAGTAATATCATAATTATCATTACTATTATGCTTATTAGTATTAATATTACTATTACTACTATTAATATTAGTATTGAAATCATTACTATGATGAGTATTATTAGTATTAGTAGTAATATTAGCTTATTTTTAGTGTTATTAACAGTAGTAGTAGTCATACTTTTATCATGCGTATTGTTGTTAGTATTCTTAGTTGTAGTCTTATTATTATGATTATCTTGATTATTATTAGTGTTCTTCTTATCATTATTAGCATCAGCATTATTAGTAGTATCAATAGTAGTTTATATTATTATTATTATTATTATTATTATTAGTAGTATTCGTAGTATTAGTGTTATTATCGTTGTTAGTAGTACCAGTAGTATTACTAACATTATTAGGATTATTATGACTATTATGATTATTATTATTGGTAATAAGAATATAAGTATTGCTATTATGATTAGTATTCTTATTAGTATTACTATTATTCTTACTATTATTATGATTACTATTATTGTTATTATTATTATTATTATTATTATTATTATTAGTAGTAGTAGTAGTAGTAGTCGTAGTAGTAGTAGTAGTAGTAGTAGTAGTCGTAGTAGTAGTAGTAGTAGTAGTAGTAGTAGTAGTAGTAGTAGTAGTAGTAGTAGTAGTAGTAGTAGTAGTAGTAGTAGTAGTAGTAGTAGTACATCTTATTGTTCCTCCTCCTCCTTCTCCTCTTCCTCCTCGTCCCTCCTCTCCGTCCCCCGCCTCCTCCTCCTCCTCCGCCTCCTCAGCCTCAGCCTCAGCCTCCTCCTCCTCCTCCTCCTCCTCCTCCTGCTCCTCCTCCTCCTCCTCCTCCTCCTCCTCCTCCTCCTCATTGACGCCCAGAGGGCCCGCATCGCTGCCAACAGGAAGGCCCGGCGCGCAGCACGGCGAGCCGCATAGGCCGTTGCCCGCGCCGTCTCCAGTCACTTTGGCTGGGCTCCTCTGCCAGCCCTCGTAGGGCGAGGGTCGGCCTGCTTGCTGAGCTTGCTTGCTTCCTTGCCCGTCTGGCCTCTCCAGCTTCACTGTCCTGCCTCGGCTGGGGTGAGCTTGCCTTCCGGCCGATTTGAGCACAGGGTTGACCCTGACCTCCCTCCGTCATCCTTCCTCCCCCACCTCCTCCTCCTCCTCCCGTTCCTCCTCCTCCCGTTCGTCTTCCTCCTCCTCCTCCTCCTCCTCCTGCCTCGGGGGCGCGTGACCACGGGGGGAGCCAGGTGTAGCGCAATGCATGGGCAGCGGGGCCCGGTGCAGGAGCGCCACCCCCCGTCCTCCAGCTCTGCCGAGCCCAACCGCCGCCCGGCCCAGGGCGCGAGGTCGCCCGCAATCTCCTGCGGACGGAGGACAAAGAGGGCTGGAGGAGGAGGACGAGGAGGAGGAAGAGGAGGAGGAGGAGGAAGAGGAGGAGGAGGAAGAATGTGAGGAGGAGGGGGAGGAGGAGGAGGAGGAGGAGGAGGAGGAGGAGGAGGAGGAGGAGGAGAGGGAGGAGGGGGAGGAGGAAGGGAAAAAAGGAGGGGAGGAGAAAGAGGAGGACGGGTAGGAGAGGAGGAGGACGAGGAGGAGGAGGAACAGGAGGAGGAGGAGGAGGAGCAGGAGGAGGAACAGGAGGAGGAGGAGGAGGAGGAGGAGGAGGAGGATTTGTTTGGACACGCGCAGCATCAGGACAAGAAGCGCCGGCAACCTCGCTGCAATTTACATCATTTCCACTCGGCCAAGTTCTTCGCGCACCCGCACTTACTGCAGCGCCGCGTCTGCGGGCGACGGTTCTGCGAGGCCCTGCCGCCGCCGTCGCGCCAGGGGGAGGGGGGCGGCGGCGACGTCGGCGGCCGTGAACTGGGATCGCTTAACGAATGAGGCCCCAACCTGGATCGCGGCCGATGCGTCCGAGCCAAAGCCCGCATCAGCACCGCCGTCCTAAAGTTCGTTGCTGCAAGCTCAGTAGACCTGCGCCAGAACGGCCCGAGCCAAAATGGCCACGGGGGGGGAGGGGGAGGGAGGATGAGGAGGAGGAGGAGGAGGAGGGGAGTAGGAGGAGGAGGAGGAGGAGGAGGAGGAGGAGGAGGAGGAGGAGGAGGATGAGGATAAGGAGGAGGAGAGGAGGAGGAGGTAGCAGTTTAGGAGGCGGAGGAGGGGGAGGAGGAGGTAAGAAGGAGGAGGAGGGGAGGAGGAGAGGAGGAGGGGGGGGCGGAGGCGGAGGCGGAAGCGAGGACGAGGAGGAGGACGAGAGGAGGAGGAGGTAGGAGGAGGAGGAGGAGGAGGAGGAGGAGGAGGAGGGGAGGAGAGGCGAGGGGGAGGTGGAGGGGGGAGTAGGGGGAGGAGGAGGATGAGGGGGCGGAGGAGGCAGAGGAGGACGAGGAAGATGAGTGGAAGGGGAGGAGGAGGGGAGGAGGAGGAGGAGGAGGAGGAGGAGAGGAGGAGGAGGAGGAGGAGGAGGAGGAGGAGCAAAAGGAAAAGGCGGAGGAGGAGGAGGAGGAGGAGGAGAAGGAGGAGGAGGAGGAAGGAGAGGTCGGATAGTCACGCCCCCCCAAGGCGCGCGGAACGCGCCAGCTGAGGGAGGCGCGGGCTGGGGCGGAGGGGAGGGGCGCCGCGCGCCCGATCAGCACGCTTGTGCGCTGACTGCCGACCCCCCGTTTGCCTGCTCCACGCTCTCCCTCTCCAACGACCCAGCGCGCCGTGGCCGCGCGAGCTCCTCCTCGTCGAGCCGCGCCATCTGGGTATCAAGCTCGGCCTGGGCGCGCGCGCGCGTCGCAGTCCATCTCGTCGACCGCGAGCTCGAAGGCGCCGCCGCCTCGCTCTCGCCAGGCGCTCCTTGACGCACCCGCCCAGTGCCTCGTTCAACAACTTCTTCTCGGAGAAGCGTTCCAGCTCGAGGAATCAGGCCTCGTCGAGCGCGAGCGGGGCCCCGCGAAGAGGCGGCCCATCCTTGCGCGCGCGACAAGTTGCCGCGCGCGCCGCCGAGCTCCTGGCTGGAATCGGGGCGCCGCAAAGTCGATCGCGCCCCTGGCATCCTCGAAGTTGGCCGTCAGGTCGGCCTCCGCAGGAAGGAGAATAGCGCCGCCAGCACGCTGTGGGTCCTTGGGCTCGCCCTGCTCGCCGGCGGCTCTATCCGCCGTCAGCCCCTCGACGAGCCCGCGCTGCTCGGGGGCCGCCGCGCGGGCCTCCATCTCCGCGTGCCGCGCGCGCCCCAGCCCCTGGAAGTTCTCCTCGTCGAACTTCTCCGCTGAGGGCTCGGTGCCGCCGCCGTCCTGAATCTTCATCCCCTCTGTGATCGCGTCGAGCTTGGGCGGCATGTCGGACACCTCCACGGGGGGAGCGAAGCCGCAGTGCCCCCCGCGTAGCTGCTGCATGCACTCCGCCAGCAGCGCGCGCAGCGAGTGGCACGTCTCGTCCCGCTGCTCGACCTCCTGCCCGAGCTCTTGGCGTAGCTCGGTTCGATCGTTGAGCCGCGCCTTCCAGTGGGCGCTCTCGTCCTTCAGATCCTCGATCTCCTGCTTGAGCACCTTCGACTGCTGCAGCTGCTGCGTGAAGACCGACTGGGCGGCGGCAGATCCATGATCTGAGGCTCGTTGGCACCCTCGCTGTCCTCGAGCATCTCCTCCAGAGCGAGGCAGCACTTCACGTGCAGGTCCAAGTTCCTTTCCGGGTCAAGAACGACTCCAGAGTGTCCCCCCATCTGCCGCTGCAGCTCAACGAACTCTTTCTGATCGGCATGCGCGGCGATACTGCGGGTCGCGGCAGCCCCCTCTGAACTCCAGTCCGTGTTACTCTCGGCAGGGCATGGCACCCCCGCCGACTCGAACTGCATGTCCATGTCGGCCCCGCTGGTGCTGCTGCAGCTGCCAGGGGCGTCCGCCGCCATTCACCTGATGCGACGACGCTGGGACTGCTGGCTTGTCTGTTGGCCCAAGGCCCCTAGGCCCCCCTGCTTTCCCAGTGCCAGCTATGGGGCTGCCGCCGTAGGCCTGCACGACACCCGGCGCGTGCAGCAGCGCCTCCGCGTCGGCGCCTGGTCGCGCAGGGTGTGCAGCCGCCCAAGGCACGAAAGGCGGCGCCGCCACATTTCCAGATGGTGGGACTGCGCGCCAGCTGCGCGGCCCTCGCAGGCGCCACGGTCTCCACCACGCAGGCTTCCACGAGGCACTCCTCGGACGCCGCGCCCCTGGCGGCTGCTTTCTTTGGACCCTGGCCGCGCGGGCGCGGCAGGCGGGGCCCTCGCTGAGCGTGCCGCCAGGCTGCCAACGGCGCCCCCACGGAGGGAACGTGCTTGGCGCGGCACCCGACGTTGCGCCTGATCGCGTTCTCAAGCAGCACCCCGCGCTCATCTTCCTGCGCCTCCAGCACCGGAGCTACCAGCGCTAACCGTCGCCCAGCGCTGGGCGAAACCCCGGCCAGCTGCTCCGGCGTGCGCAGCTTCTCCGCCCGCTTCTGCGACAGCCGCTCGCGCGAGCAGGCCGCCCACTGCTGCGCCGCCCTCCGGGCGCCGTGCGATCTCTAGCATGCACTCCTCCTCCTCCTCCTCCTCCTCCTCCTCCTCCTCCTCCTCCTCCTCCTCCTCTGGCCGATCGCCCAGCGGTCTGGCCCCCTGTCGCCATCTTTATGCCGGCGCCCCGCACCGCCGAAGCTCGCGCGGCTAGTCGGGCCCGCGCGCCGCGGCGGCGGCCTCTCGCCCCCCGCTGGCGACCGCGCGCCTTGAGCCAGCGGCTATGGGCGCACAGGCACCTGGCGCGAGCCAAAGTCGCTACGGAGGAGGAGGGGTAGGAGGGAGAGGAGGGATGAGGAGGAGGAGGAGGAGGAGGAGGAGGAGGAGGAGGAGGAGGAGGAGGAGAACGTCTCTTGGGACGTCTCTTGAGGTGGGGGGGGCGCCCGTGGCGCCCCCCCACCTGACGTGGACGCATCCCGCGCCCACGCGCGGCGGGCGGCACGCGGCCGCCCCGCGCCCCCGCCCGCGCGCGCACTGCCGCCGGCCCTCAGTGCCCGCGGCGCGGCAGCCTGCGCCGCTCGGCGTGGCTCGCGAGCCTTGCTGGTGGTCCGCGCCTCCGCCGTGCCCCAGCGTGCTGAGCGGGGCGTTGCGCGCTGCCGTCTGCGGCGCACGCAGCTGGGCTGTGCACTAGCCCAGGAGGAGGCGGATGGAGGGCTGCTGGCCACCTCCTCCTGCGGCAGGCGCGGTGCGGGCCACCTTGGCGGGCTGCTGCACCTCGCCCACTCCTAGCAGCTGCCGCGCCCGCCGTGCCGTGCGCGGCTGCTGCTTCTCGCCTCCTCTGGCGTCCGCGGTTGCTACCGTGGCCGCCACTGGCTGGGTGGCGTGGTGGATCTGCTCCTCCAAGCGGCCCCTCCAGTCATCACGGTTGATCGTGGCCTGTTCGTCGACTGGTCTCGGCGCGGCATCTCCTTCAACAGCGCTGCATGCCGCGTCCACGCAGGGGCTGGGCCGAGCTGCTGCCGCTGCCCGGAGCCGCGCCACTGCCTCGGCCGTGCCAATCCTGGCTCTGCCCTCGCCTTCGCTGCTGCCAGGCCGGCCGTCGCCGCTGCGGAGGATCTGCGGCTGAGTGTCGGGGCTGCCAACGCCGCAGCGCCTGAGGAAGGTCATGGTTATCCGCTGCTGGTCTTCGGTGAACACCTGCCCTTGCTGCCGTCGCTCGCCGATTTCGGTGCGCTGGACCTCTCGGAGGGTGACGCTGCGGCCCCAAGCTGTGCGGCTCATCTTCTCAGCGAGCTGCTTCCTGTAGTCGCAGTAGTCGTCCTCGTCCATTGTGTCGAACAGGCCGTCCATGTCCTTGGCCTCCAGCTGCTCCAGCTGCTGCAGCACGAAGGGGACACGCCACTTTAACCGCATCTGTTGCTCGTCCAGCTCCTCGTTTCGCAGGAACTCGCGGGGAAGTCATTCAGCTCCTATCAGGC